TGCTAAAACTTCGTTGAAATATCCACAATTGTATAAACGTGGTATCTTGCAAGAAGATTTTACAAAATCGAAATTTTGGCTTTATGTTTTGGATGCTATTTATCAATCGATTGTTTGCTTCTTTATACCTTTTGGACTATTTCAATATGGTTCTTCGCACGTAACAGGATTAACAAATAATGGATTAGATGATTTAGGTACCTTGGTCGCGGGAGCTGTTGTAGTTACAACGAATTTATATGTTGGGTTAAACATCATGAATTGGTCGTGGTTAGCATTTGTAGTTATTTGTATAAGTATTCTATCATTTTATATATGGGTTGAATTTTATTCCATTTGGGCTTCTATTGGATTTTTCCGTATGGATCTAATATTATTTTCGGAAATAGATTTTTGGTTAGGAATACTTTTGGCAACATTTATAAGCATTTTACCACGGTTCACGGTTAAATACCTTCATAAATCGTATTGGCCCACTGATACAGATATCATTCGTGAAAAAGTTAAATTATCTAAACAAAAGAAGGATTTAGTGGAACCAGATGATGATAAAATACCCATAGCAAGTCCTTTAGGTTTCGATTCATTCAATACAAGTAACGCAACGATATCTGACACTTCATTAAGTGATCAACCAATTACAAAGGAACGTGAAGTACCAAAATTGCAAAAGATTACAACACTTCAAAAAGGAAGAACTGCATCCTTAAGATCCGAAGAGCAATTTTATCACATGCAATCAGGAAAGCGTCAATCATTTACAGGATTTGCATTTTCTAGCGAAGAAAGTTCATTTGAAGCATTTAGAACATCGGTATATCGACCAACACAAGCTCGAACACCCTCACATCACCGATCGAATACCATAACGACTGTAAATAACAATAGATCATCACTTTTATCAACTCATACTTTAAATCGCAGTCAAACATTACCAAGTACTTTATTTAGTGGGATCTCCCCAAGTCCTAGTCGATCAACATCACCAAATAGATCGATTAGCGATAATAGATCACAGAGATCCGATGATGATAGACGATTAAGAGGTGAAGGGGAAGAAGTTGAACTCTCTATCATGTCGCCATCATCATCACATTCATCATAAATTAGACTTTTTTTTTTTCCATTTTGTAAAGTAATATCCATATATATTATATCCCATAATATAATATTTCTTCCTCGCGATACTTTTTAATACTTATTTATTTCACTTTTTTTTTTTTTTTTCTTTTTTATTTATTTATTTAACTTTGTAATATATTATTAAAAGATAAAACACGAGAAAGTGATTGAGTTTCCTTTTACATTATATTAATTTTTATTTTTTCCTTTGAGGCTAAAATATTGGTGGTCTATTTGTACTTTCTTCGATATTATTCACATTCTCTTGATCGGAGGCAGTAATCAAAGAATATACTGAGGCTTTAAACAAAGTATATACAAGCCCAATCTTTTTCTCCAAAGTACGAAGTTTGTCAACAAGGATTACGATATCACTTGTATTCATTTGAGTAATTGTTACGTTAATCTAAGGAAAGATTAGATTTTATTTTATTTTATTTTACAATACAATATTTGGTTTTGGAGAAAAAAAACCTTACCTTGTCAATGTGAGAGCCTAGTTTCTCGTATTCCGAAAGAATATCTTTTTCGAGATTAATAGGGGAAACATTTGTTGACTGTTGAATATTCATTTTTGAGTAATAGAAACGCGTTAAATTTTCGAGTTAAAAAAATATATATATATACATATATATTATATATATATTTTCCAAAACGCCTAAATTCGAGATTACCTTTAATGCCGGCCAGAAATTTCACATGGTCAAGATCATCTGATCTGTGCTTGACACAAAAATCTTGAGGGCAGAATGCACGATTACTGTTTATGTAATAATAATTAAGGTTACCATGTTTGAAATTTTGATTATCCCCCAACATGCAAGGAGAAAAGTTTTATATAGATATTATTATACAAGTTTTTCCAAATAAATATTGTTCAACATTCATTACATTCATTAAATATTGATGGATTGCCGAATTACTTGATTAATCATTTTAATTTAATTTAATTAATAATTTACTAAATCTAATCATTATTTTTTTATATTTCTGTTTTTGATGATTAAAAAAAATTACATCATTTATTTTAACCTGATTGGGTTTGTGTAAGAATTAAAAGGTTTTATAAAAAAAAAAAAAAATTGACGCACAAAAAGATTTGTCATTTGTCATTCAAACCGTCATTTTGTACTCACTTTATAAAAAGAAAAAAGGAAATTTTAATTCAAAGGAATTAAATTTAGCAAAAAAGTAATAATAATAATAATAATAAAAAGGTAGTTGTAATACACAACTTTAAAAAAAAAAAAAATTTATGTTAGATTTGGTAAATCTGTGTTTAAGATGGTAAATGAAGGAATGGGACTAAAATAAATTAATACTTTAAATTAGGAAAACAATTGAAAAATAATAAAGTCATTATGATAAATATGCAATGCGTAAAGTGGTTACACCAGGCTGTTCTGAATTAAATATTTTTTTTTTTTTTTTGTATTTCATCCTTTTTTTATGATTAAATAGAATTTCCTATAAGAGATACATATTACTAAAATTGATTCAATCCGTATTGAATGGAAATGAGATTTTTTGAAAAGCAGGGTCTTTTTATTTTATTTAACGATAAACATTTAAAAATTTTTTTTTTTTAAACTTTTATTACACAGCATTAATAAATCAGGTTTATTTAAATTTCATTCCAATAGAGGAAAGGCCAAAATTACGAGCAGGCGCAGCCTTGGTTTTTTGGGGGGATAGCCACAATTCCACACTGCCCCATGGCGTAGAATATTTTTTATTTTTTTCGTTGAAGCCGTATCTCCTATCTTGCCCTTTAACGTCGTATCTTTCTTTCGTTCTGAGGCGTGGACGAATTGCGCAGTATAGAAAAACACACAGCCAATTCATGTTTTACGTTACGGTTGTAACCAATTTCGTAGTGTTACAGAATGAAAAGCTTTTCACATTCAATGGATGATTCCCTTTTTTTTATTGATAGAATTAAAGACCAGACATTCTAATTACTCTAGAGTGGCTATTTCATTATTATAATTCACCTTTTTGGTCACCATGTTGATGATTCTTTTAAGAGCGCACAAAAAAAAAAATATAAAAACAAACATGTCTGAAATTCATCCGATTTTGTTATCATTAACAAAGTCCTTGGTTTCATTTTATCTATGCAATGCACACATGATATAACATTTTACTTTTTATCTCATAAAAAATTATTTTCACCCGCAAATAGAACGGAAGTTGAATTAATTTGCGTCCAAAAGTGGAAAATGTCTTTAACCATTATAATCATTCTACAAAGAAAATAGAACAATTGTTCTTTTTTTTTTGATTCTAATTCAAATAAAGTCATTCATTATGTTTCGTTGTTCCTTTTTTTTTTAACTGCCCTTTTTTCTTCATTGTCAATCCCCCTTTCATTTGTTTTTCCTATTTTGGTCAAGTATGAACATTTAATAATGACATACTGAGCAAAATTCATTCACAAATTATCTAATACATATATTTTTTTTATCGAGATTAAAAACTTGTCATATTTTTTATTACTAAATAATAATTTTATTTAATTTCATTAGCCCTTCGGTTTATTACACGCGGCCTTTTCCGAATTCCCCGTCAGGCAGACAAAAACCAAAGAAACCTTTCCACATAATTTACATAAAGCCTAATATGGTTCATAACTTACTTTTCGTCATCTTGTAAAACTCAGGTGTAACAGGTTTCAAACCATTTTGTATCTTATTGTTTTGACTTTTCTAGCTTTTTGCATTAATAATGTCTTTATTAAAAATGTGGCTTTTATATATATATATATATTATATATTATATTATTATATTATATTATATTATAATAAATAAAATAAATGAAAAAAAAAAAAAATTATAAAATTTATATGTTCTGACGATTGAGCCTCCTTTCAATTTTCCTTTTCTTGTTTACTGTTACACTGCATGTGTAACTTTATAAATTCTTTATAGTTCAACTAACATCTACAAATCCTTTCCTAAAAAAAGCCTCTATTGAAAAAATTGCTACACAACAAATAAATTCTCTTTAACTTTTTACAGACATTTTTGTGTTTCCTGACACATCATCAAAAACCTCTTTGTCCTTTTTTTTTTTTATTAGTTGTTCTCCGGTTGCTTGTTTCTCTTTTTTCCTTATAAATTCAACCTTTTTGTGAAGAAATTCAAGTATCTTTATTATAATTCTTATACGAATATTCGTGAAGTAAACTTTAAAAAGTTTTGTAACTCTTACGTACTTCTCTGACGGTACCCTCATATCTCTTGTTTGATAAATCTTATAAATAACTCTTAACGACCAAGTTCTTTACCTCTCCACCTGTTAAAAAAAAAATAAAAAAGAAAATTAATAATAATAATAATAATAATAATAAAGAAGGCTTTTAAAATTGTTGAAACGATATAACGACTTATGTAAGTATATTTACATACGATAAAATAGTACTTTGAACCTTTTTTTATACACGTATTAAACCATTACTTGAGACTTCAAAACCTTTTTTATTTTAAAATCTTTTCTTTTATGCTCATTGTTTTTATGATAAAATTTTATTGGGTTGGCTTGTTTTTGTTCGTTTCTTTTACTTTTGATTCCAACTTGTGTGTCACACAATTTACTTAAATCAACTATCCTGTCTAGTTATAGATTAAGTTTTTTAATTATTATTCTCTCGTCAAAGGTCTATTTTTTAACGAATTTTTTTTTTTTTTAAAAAATACTTTCGCGAACAGTTATTATCAACTCAGAAGTTCACGTCATTCATCAGAATCCTCAATTGTAAGTACTCTCTCCTCCCTTTTATGACGTTTCGGTGCGCGTTAACTTGTCATTAATAATCATTTCTAACTTCCTTACTTTCCCTATTTTTTTTTCGTTATCAGATTAAAAATTTATAAAAATGTCCAACGTCAACGTTTATGATCACTTTCCCGCAATGTCTTCAGTTGCCTCTCGACGAACTTCAGCCGTTTCAATAAATGCTTTGTTAAATCCTGAACCCGAAGAACAACAATCTTACATGTCGCCTTCCTATCCTGCTTCACCGAGTAATATAGATTGGTATGATATCAAAATCCTTTCTGATGACCAACCTTTAATCAATCAAGGGTGTTCATAAATTTGCGTCTTTCTTTTTTCGACTTCAAATTTAACGTCCGAATTCTTTAATTCTCTCAGTTATTATAATGAAACTAGTTCTCCACAAGTCTCCCCTGATGACTCCGTTACTTCCCAATCAATGCCGGCCTCTCCAATGTCAAAACATTCATCATCTACATTGGCATACAATGGAAACGGAACCAGTATTAAAACCGAAAAGGCGGTGGCAATCACGTCAAGAAGATCGTCCTCTTCGGTCCCATCTTCTCGTAGGGGTTCGTTGAATCGAACTTCGGGACCTGGACAAGCTATCATTTCTTCAGATGGTAACTCTAATATAATTACACCACCACAAACCCCTGGTATCAAGTCCCCGACAAAGTCAAACTTTGCATTCCCGCCAAATTCAAACGGGGCGACCACCAGCAATGATCAATCAAATAATCAACCCATGCCTCCAAAGGTAAAACGCAAGCGAATCACTCAGGAACAATTGCAAGATTTGGTTGCGATGTTCGACCAAACTGACACGCCAAGTTACGATGTACGAGAAAAGCTTGCCAAGAAATTGAATATGACGAATCGTGAGGTTCAGGTATAGCGACCATCTCATTCATAACAAATTTTTTTATCGATGTTTAAGTTTCTCGACTTGTATTTATTTATCGACAAAATTTAAACTTACAATTTACGTCTCAATTGATTAGGTATGGTTCCAAAACCGACGCGCGAAAGCGAATCGAGCAAAGGCAAATGAACACAATGCATCCCACCAGCACCACCGATTCTTACATCATCACTCTGTGTCAACGGCGCAGGCTGCCAGCGGACACGCATCGTCAATTGGTATGATGCCACACGGGAATTTCACATTCGTTCCCATGTTTGCCAACGGTGGTCCATCAACAGGTGGTCCGGCTAGGGGTCGTAGCAGTCGCCGGCATTCATATGTTCCGCCGACGAATAACAATCAAAAGAAAGTGCCTCAGAACACCCCACATACAAGACCAAGGGCTTCCACTGTCACAGGAGTGCCTATGACAACGATGGGTTCACATGGACATTCGATTCACGTTGCTCCTCAACAACATCAGCAATCGCAATCGACTCCCAAAATGATGGTTGTACCACCGCCAATTAAGATCTTACCATTCGTCCATGAACAACGCCACGTTAGTAGTCTTGGTCAATCGCATCATCCCGTATACGGACATCCATACGCTCATAGTGTTCCGCCTTCACCTATCTCGCCCATCACCCCAATTTCACCAAACACACCAATCCTTCCATCAATCAATTATATGCTTCCAAGCATAAATAACTTGACGCTTCCACCACCGGTCGCCGTTCCTCCGATTAAGGAACTCCTTGCGGCATCAACTTCGGACTATCAACAGTCCGTATACCGTCAGCAAGAAACGATGCCTACGTCACAAAATAATCAGCAACAGCAAGCATTATCCCAGTTGGAATATTCTGATGCTTCGACAACAAAATCGGCTGTTAATAATCCAAGTGAACCCTCGCCAATTGACCTCCTCGCAGCAGCTGCAGAACTTGTCCAAAGAGAAAAAGAAAAAGAATGTCTCGGAGCATTTACAGCAAACAACGAGGATCAGGAAGACGCTGATAACGACAAGAAGTGGAGACCATGGATGATCTAAATCCGTTACTGTATAAAGTTTATATATTTATATATAAATATATATCATATTTTGTATGTTTTGGCCTTTGAATATGAAAGTTTCCATGAATATATATATTTATATTATTATTATTATTATTTGCCTTGTCAATTCAATACATCTCTTCTTTTTTTTATTGTTAAAAAACAAATTTTTTCCTTTTTTTTTTTTTTCCTCTTCGCATGAATGGATGAATTTTCGGATTTGTTTAAAAAAAAGAAAGAAAGAAAGAAAAACATGTTATCCTTATTTATCTCTTTGTATTCATCGTGTATATTTTTATGTTTTCTTGCATAATGCACAATTTCTTTTGTTTTTCCCTTACTTATTTTTTTGCATTTGATTATTCCCGGACCCCAAAAAATTTCATTATGGCATCAAAAACCGTTGGGTGTGTGATTAATGAGACCCTTTTCAACGACACCAAACAATTTTTTTTATTTTATTTTATTTTTTTTTTTTTAATTTGAAGTACCAATATAAAAAAACTTCTTTAGAATTTGGTATAGATGAGTTAAATTTTATTGTGAAAAGTTTCAATCGTTGTTGGACATTTGGTATATTAAAAAAAAAAAGCTTAGGCGTAAGAAATTTAGAATTATAATATATATATATTTTATATATATATATATATATATTTTACACAATCGCACGTTTCATATTATTTTTTTTTTTTCTTTTCGTCCTCCAATGTTTTCAATAACATGGTTAGTTTTGCATAAATATTTGAAATTGGTCTTGGAGGATTTGCTAATTATTTTTTTTTAACACTTGTACAAAATTTCTTTTCTTCCCTTCTATATATATTTTTCTTTTTTCATTTTCCCAAAGATTTTAACTCGAAAAAATTTTAAATATATAAATATTATCTTTTTTTATTATTTTATTTTATTTTTATTTTATCTGTATATAAGTTTTTTTCTTTACTTTTTTGTCTTTATCTTTTTTTAGTCATTAAAAAAAATCACCAAAAATCTATAAAAATGATTTTATATATAGTTTTTCTTTTTCCTCTTTTATTTTGTTTGATTCTTGTTTTTTTTTTTTGCAAAATTAAAAAAATATATTTGTCTCTTTACGGGTAATGGTTAACCGTGATTGATTTCATATTATTTATTTTTATCGTTAGTGGGTTTTATATATAATATGAAAATAAAGTTTTATTTTGGGATTTTTTTAATTCCTTGTAATATATACAATATTTTCGATTCCTTAATTTTTTTGGTAAATTATAATTTAAAAAAAAAAAAAAAAACAGGTTGAGTCCAAGATTTTTTTTAAATTATGATTATACAAATAAAGGTATACCCGAAACCTGTTTATAAACAACTTTTAATAAATTTTGCTTAGCAAAAAAATAATTTTAATAAAAAAAAATTTCTAAAACGTAAAAAACTTGTTAACATTCTTGTTTTAAAGAATGAATTATTTATTTTGTTATTTTATTTTATTTCATTTACTATTTATTATTATTATTTATTATTTTCCTAATATGGCAAATTTCATAATTAAAAGCCTCAAATAAAAATAAAAAAACGTGGCGCCACATGATAGTAATTTTTTTTTTTTTTAAAAGAAAAAAGGATATTATGCTTGCTTTGCTTATGTTTCGAAGTAATTGTAATGTAATGTAGAAATGTAGAAAAGAGGGCTTAGTATGCACTACCTTAAAAACACCTCAAGTAGGCTTATTTGGAATCCCGCAAGTCGAAGATCCGTAAAAAAAAAAAATAAATAAAACAGAGATTGCAAATAGATATTAACTTTTTTTTTTTTTTTTTTTTTTGAAATTAACAGCATATATTTCATATATTTGATATCTAAAAAAATAATTTTTATAAAAATTTTTTTGTTATGATACTTATTTCTAAAATACAAAAATTAATAAAAATTATTATCATCATATATTGTTGTGATGAATAAAAAAAAAATTGATGTGACTACTACTTTTCTCGAATGAGACCATTTGTGACACCCTTTTGTCACATATGTTAACATCAAAATTCTTTTTTATAAATAGCTCCGGGAGGAGGTAAACCTAGTGCTGTTGGGAGGCACCGATTTTTCGAAATATTTTATTCCGTAATTTTTTTGGAATTTGGTAAATTAATACCATGCATGTATAATTATTTAACCACATTCAAGATACTATAATTCGTTAATTATGCTCAATTTTTTGTTCACCCTTAAAAATGAATTCAAATAAACTAAAGCGCAAACGAGGGTTAGGACTAGGATGCCCCATTTTCCATTAGATAATAATTATAATCTTAAATTCCGGTCAACTTAACTGGGCAAATTTGCAAATTTATATTTCTGGGCTTCACCAAACATTTTGACGCTTTTCGAACAGTATTATTTATATTGAGGACTTTATCGTAATTACGCAATTAACAAAGATAACCGATTTAGCGACCAACCTAAGTTTCACTAAGATCATAGATCATAACCATTATGTTACCCCTGATAAAAATTTTCGAAGTATCTAGAACATTTCGTCACTCATCATATATCAACCGATTTTTGCCGATTTAATATAAATACGATATGAATCACTCGAGCGGTTCATCAGTACAAATTGAAATCTTCCCACCTGAAAATATGAAAAATAAAAGATTTTATACAAAAGAAGCAAAATTATTGAACTTGACCCTCCTTGTGGTATTAAGTTGACCTCTTGCCAATAACTATATAAATAACAATTGTTTTTACAATAAGATCGGCAAGAGGGTAAGTTCGATACATTTGCTATACAGAAAGGTCTTTATTTGATATTTTGCTGAAGTTGATCTTTTGACCCTTGTTTTTAACTCTCGATTTTCTCGTTTGCAGATATACCACCGGAATCATGGTATTTTTTGTTTTGTGGTAGGTGACGACCTTGAGAGGTCCTTTGAAGTTACAGGCGACGACAAAATGACCATATCGAAACTCAGAGAAATAATCTATGAGAAGAATAAGAACGATTATAAAAGTATTAATGCCAGAAACTTGGATCTATGGAAGGTGGATATTCCTGGTGATACAGCGAACGTTAAACTGAAAACACTTCAAAGCAGATCCCGTGATGTGGATAAAGAAAATATTTCTATACAAGAAATCGAGGTGAAAAGTTGTCTCCATTTAGTGATTTTGGCGACATCTTTAAGTATGACTCCAAGAACATCCGCATTATCGTACAACCGCCACTGTTCGCCTCCACTAGTAAGTGTCTCCTAATTTTTTATTTCTCGAAAAATGATAATTTCGCTATTCTGTTTTCTATATAATGTATTGATCACCTTTATTTCTGCTTGCTTGTGCTAGATCAAGGGCTCATTGACATATCTCGTAAGATTACAGACCTTGGTTATCTGCCTCGACAAGGTACGTATGTGTAAGTTGATATTTTTAATCACAATCTTATATATTTTTTAACCTCAACCTCTCTTTAGATGGTCTTGGTGGTACGTCGCTAAATAAATCTGAGCAGAATGCATTTATTGTTGAGGGTATCTCTCTTACTCACCCTGATACCAGATCTTGTGTCTTGTCTGGCCAAAAGACTTGAGGAGAAGAGGGTGATTCTTGTCCAGGCTCCTCCCTATTCTGGCAAAACTTCATTATCCAAATTATTGGAGAATTACTTAGTAGTTAACTCTTCAAAACTACTCGGAGTATTAAGGGTTTCATTAGCCCTGTTCAAAATTAATCGGTCGCATTTTTCGGTCGATTTGTGTTGTACAAAATTTATCCAATAAAATTTCTCTATTTTAGATTGCGTATTGCAAGTTATAGAAGAGAAACTTATCGAAAATATACTATTCGAATTAGATGAGCATTTACATTCAAAATATCAATAGGTATAGCTTCGTCATTGAATGAACCAGCTTTTTTTTGTAAAGAATAGTCATTAACTTCAGATTTGCATGTACTGAATGGCATTACACCACCAACTTCATTCTTTTATATGTATTGAATATTTGGTCTCGGGACCAAAAAATTTCCGGTTCCATAACCCATTAAAATATTATTTGGATTAGTTTGTGTTAAAGGTGCAAACTCCAAAGATCTTGGTGCTAAATTTCTTTGCAATTAAAAGTGCTGGTGCTAAAGGTCTTTGCGTTAAAGGTTTATACACCTTTGAAGATTGTTTAACTGTTGTAAGGCTTTGAACGTTTTGAATTTGGTGAGAAGACGTGTTTAAAAAACGAGTAAAAAAAGAATATTCGAAGTATTCGCGATCGATCTAAAAGCTCAAAAAAAATTTAGATCAGAAAATCGGTCGTGTCGCACCAAGCCCAATCAGAATAAACTTAAAATGCGACCGATCAATTTTGAACAGGCTATTGCTATGGGGTCTTTCTGTGGGAAAGAATTGCGAATATGATACATTTTGTGAGGTGTGGGAGAAGATTGTCGGTGTAGAATGGTGTGAATGGGTAGGACAATGTCGAAAAGTTCCATCTATTTTAATAATAGACGAAGCTCAGAAGATCTATAAGGATATGAATGAAGCTGATGAAAGTATGAAGAATACAGGAACTGCAATTGCATTTTGGGATACCATTAAAATGTGCCTTCAATGGTCAAACCTTAGCGTCATTATGTTTGCCGCATATGGATATAATACCAACTTGTATTATCAGTAATTATTTATAACGTTCTGTAATTGCATATATATAATAAAGTTAATAACATCGCTATACTAAATACTAACTACATATTAAATAATTATTATCTATCACTTTCCAAGATATATTCTCCACACTTTTCGTCATAATAAATTTCTTTGCATAAAAATACCTAAAAATTACGGAAAGACGGAAATTAAATTATTTTTCATTGTTTCAAATAGACTTTAATGAAAATATTACCATTTCATTTTAGCTTCATATTGCCGTATAGTTCTTGAAATATTGATTATTTGATGCACTAAGGTATTTTTGGTATTACGAAGACCCATATATAATTATTCCAGGGAATTGGGTCTCATTGAGTAAACTCGAAACTTTTAAATGCATTTGTGATCATTATACATGTGTTATCTTTCATAACGGACTCAATTTTGAGTAAAGTTTATTCTGATGAAATTTGTTTTATTAAGATAACAATACGGGTTATACAGTCAAACATATATGTTTATTTAAAACGCAAAAGCAATAAAGTATATTTTTTGATTATTACATAGTGATTACGATTACATGTTAAAATGCTAAAAAATAAGCCAATTAATCCATCCCTTTTTTTGAAACAATAAACGTGCACATTTAACTTAACCATACCTAATTAAGTAACTTTTTCCTTTGCGGAATATCCGGTAAGTCTCGCATATACTGTATTTGCAATGGCGGAGTAGTTGTGTCACTTTTGACAAATTCGACTGTTCCTAACGATGCAAAATATAAAAGAAAGATATCATTAATTGTTTCATTGCAAATTCAAAAATGGAAATATAGTATATATTTACCTCTAGTGCCATAAAATGCCGAATGTTTGATTCTAGCAATAGTGGTTTTATCTTTAGCCAGCCGGGTAGTTAAAAAAGGCCATGATCGGTAAAGTCCATCGTATTTGAGGTCCATAGTGTCCGACTCCACCAAATCTCCTGAAGGTAATGGTTATGGGTTTAATATACTTCATTAATTGAAGTAAAATCAAGCCTTATCAATTACAAGCATACACACCTTGATTTGTTAACAATACCGCTTCCTCCGGACCACCCTTCGCTTTTAACAACTGATTGATGGATTTACGCCCTCGTAACTGCACTTTCAACCTATCTTTTTGTTGTTGAAGAGGTGTGAATCCAGATGGCTTAATTTCCGAATTCAAAATAGGAATCTCGTTGACTAATCACGAAAAATCCGGCCTTGTTGCGGTACCACTTGTGGCACGATTCAACCGAATATTGTACTCTTTGTATGAACTAGTAAAAAACAGTGGTCCGATGATTGGATGTAGCCAGGGTTGGAAAATTTGTATGTACTAGATAAATTTTGACCCTGTACTTGTACTGTACTAAGCTGTACTAACTGTACTAATTTCCCAACCCTGGATGTAGCAACTTGAAACAGTGCTCATCTTCTGATGTTTTAGTTGGGCAACGTCAGGAACACTACTACACCTGTTAAGCGCGAAAAAAAAGTTAAGAGGCAGATCTGATCTCATTTTACACGCTTTATAAAATGAAAGCTTACATGTTGTTAAAGATTTGAGAAACAACTCGGCCGATTTCAGAATCGCCTATGAACAAAAAGGCGGTCTTTCCTTCTAAGGAATCGGCCGATGCACTCCGTAAAGAAGATAAAACCTCCGTTGGAAGTACCAGATCAGTTATAAGATACGGATTTTCACGTGTAATCATCTGCCATTCACGATTAGTGAAAATATAAGCAGGGTAAGGCAAGGTAAGCTGAGAACAATTATCGAAGACAATGTTCTATCAAGTAAGCATAGAAGTCATTAGCATAATACATCACCAAATCACCAATATTATTACATGTCCAAAAATACTTACAACATTACATAAAAATCACTCCACTTTAATCCGTTAGTCTTTATCTTCTCAAGTACCTATATTTGATATTTTCTAAATCTTCGAGATACATTAATGTTACCAACTTCCTACTAAGAAATGGAAGCGATATGCAGAATAAAAGTACCAGGTCTTCGATATGTACATACCTCACTTGTTAGTTTTCGTAGCAACTCCTTTTCAATATCCGTAAGATCAACCTTTATTTCTTTATTATCAAATCCTACATCAGAAGAGGAAGGATGATCAGAGGACTTTTTGCTATCATATTCTGATCTTGGATGCTTCATTTTCAAGACATATTTTTTGGTCTAAAATATAGAAAATTATACATAAGCTTTACGTTCTAGTACTTTACAAACTATAATTTTACGAGCTGATACTTCTTAAAGCAGTTATAAAAAAGCATTAAATAGGTAAATACAATCTTGTATAAATCCCTGGGTCTGAAGATTAATATTAATAACTATTTAATATGAATGTTATACCTTGCCCTTCTCGTCAAAAATGTCTTTTTATCTGATTTCTGCCATTTTGTAGTTGCATTGGTTTGTTCGGTAGGGCTTTGAAAAAAACTTTTCATCTCCTATAAAATACAAAATTTTAATGTAAACATAAAAATTAATATGAACAGAAGAATATTTTTGAAGAGCGGTTGTTACCTCTTCTGTGAGTGATGTTAATGTATCTGTATCATCTTTGCCTGTATGGGTAGCTTTCCTCTTGGATTTCTTCCTATATGATAAAATACCCAATTTTGTCTTGTTTAAGATAACTTGATCCTTATTTTCGGCTAAGGATTGATCTAAATCAAATTGCAATTGCAAACAGTAAGAAACAGTTAGTAAAGTTCATATGTACCATTATTCAAGTTAAACTGACAAATATCTCAGCTTGATCCATTTTCTTTTCTATTAACTGTTTTTCTTTCTCGATTTTCTCAAGCTTGACATTGCATCAAAAAGACTTAGTAGATTTCCATTGAGTTCAGGACTTAAAAACGTAAAAGTGAATTACAGTCTGCTAACTTATTTTAATACATTCAAGATGAAACATTTGGGAACTGCGAATGAACGAGTTGTTCTTAGCACTAGAACGAGTTGTCCTTAGCTTTTATGCAGATTTAAAAAGAAGCCCACCGGAGGAAGTTTTATAACTAGTGTCCATAGTTAACCTAACGCGTTGTAAGGTTACTTAGACGGTTGTTTTGACAGCGTCTAACTTCTTTTCTATTTCTTCACCACTTTGTGTGTCAATATGTGTGTCAATAACGAACCTAACTAGACTCACCTTTAGCTCACCATCTTTGTTAAAGATGGAGGCCACCTTCCTTCAATTTTCATCTGCATTTTCTGTAACGTATGAAACGAACTTTGATACAAGAGTATGCTCGACCACTCTATTAAGTGAGAAATCATCTTTTTTCTTACGGAATTTCAGGATGGAGAGAAGGAAGAAATGAGTAAGAAAAGACAAAAAATGCAAAAAAGTCAAAAACTTTCTAAAATAACTATATCTTTACCTTTTGTCTAAATTAAGAGGCATACGGTGGTTTTGTCAGGTTATCAGGTTACTTTAAGTCAGATCTTGTCTTACAATATTTTATAGACGCGTACTATAAGACGCGTTTTACGGATAAATCTGCAGGCGATACATTACACTAAGCGATCAGTAAAAATCGTGAAATCGTAAAAATCGTGATCATAATTTTGGCCAGAATTAACATAATTTCGGCCAAAAATTTCTTAGAAGTATGTAGATTTCAATATACCGCAACAAGTAAAATAAATAACTTTTTTGAACTTCACATACAATTTTATTTATTTATATAACCAAATACTACATTTTATACTATTCATCACCAACTAAACTATATACATCAATACTATTATCAAGATTAAAATAAAGAAAATTAAGCATTTGAATACTTTAAGTGCTACTCTTCTATCTGATAAAATACTTTTATAACTAGAAAAATTATGTTCAATATCTACACCAGATACGTAACTATATATATATTAAAGCTAATGAACTAAGTTCTGGTAGTACATGTGCTTTACCCACTAATATATATTTAAGTCTTTAAATTCTTCAATAGATTCATTAAATCTATAGTAAATAGCTCATTCTTATATTAAAGTATCTGTAAGAGAATGAAATTCTTTAATAATTCTAAAATTTTTTATATTATGATTGGCTATATTAAATTGAATAAATCTTAGGTCAAAATATTGTATTGTTTTAAATAATGATAAAGCTGAATGATAAAATATGTATTTTTTCATATTTTTCATATGGTAATATAAAAGCTTTAAAAAAAATAATGGATTAAATTGCTAAAATCCTGCTTTACTTTATTTAAAATTTGAAATATCTCATTTGAAATTAGAGAATTTCATATTTCTGATGAAAGAAAAATTTGAAGAGCCATTATCTGAGAAAAACAAATAAAGCTATAACCTTATTTCTTATTTTAAAGAATTCAAAATTATTAATTAACCTAAATAAAAAGAAAATTAATAAATTCATTAATATAAATTTACTTATCAATAACAATTATATATAATAAAATAGATAAATATTTTAACATATAAAACATGATTTTTATTTTGACAAAAGTTATAAAGAACTTGAATAAATTTTAAATTATTATTAATAAAATATTTTGCAGTAATAAAAGTAATTAAGTAAAAATATAAGGGTTTGATTTAACATAAAAATAAAAACTATAAATTCTATTATATCTTTACAAATAGTGATGCTAAAGTAAGTGATTCAACACTTATAATAAATGTTTTTTCTACCAAATTTTTCTTTATAAATTATAAGTAAATATTATTTTAATATTCATAATTAGTATATCAATTAATTCAAATTTATGGAAGTTCACTCATGTTTTGTCAATTAAATTGAGAATGTATACTAAATAATAATTGTATTTTAAATTTAATAAAAAAGGAGATAAGTGAAATTATATTAATTTCATATAAGAAATATTATCATAAATAAAAAAAATAATATTTTGATAAGGAATATTATAAAAATAAATATTATTTATAAAAAATTATAAAATAGATAAAGTATTAATATTGGGTAAAAACTTAGTTCTAACTAATTTAATTTGATTATCAAAATTAAATAAGAGATTAATAGCATATCGATCATAATAGTCTGCTATTTCATCAATTATTAAGCTAATAATTTTGTTAACAATATCATTTTTTTAGTTTTTGAAATTCAATCTCATATGATAATAGAAGGTATTTTTCATAAAGAGGAATTGTTTTAGTAATTAAGCCTTTTACAAATAAATAAATATATTAATAAATAAAATAAATATAAGTTCAAATTAAAATTAAAATATTAAATAAAATTATATATTTATACTATTATTATAATGCTTTAATAAAATGGTCTTAATTTTATAATTTTTTTCAAAAGAATATCTATATATGTAAAGACCTCTACTACTTCTTTATTTATTTTTTCTCTTTTATTTAATATATGGGACCTTTGCAATAGAAAAGAAGAAAATGAGCAAAAAAAATAAAAAATGAGTTAATGTTAAATCTAAATATATTTTGATTTAAAAATCATATTTGTTATATAAAAGTAAAATAGATTTTTTTAACTGTTTTTCCTTTTCTATTATAAAGAACCTATATTTTCAAATGAAGATAAAGTTTTTTGAATTAACAAAGAATTATTACTTTTAGTTTTATTTTTAATTTGTTTTGCTGTTTTAATATGCTTATCTACAAAATTTTTTTTTCATGATCAATTTGTATATTACAAAAATGACATTATAATACATTTTTTGTATAATATAATTTTCTTAGTATTTAGAACTTTATGATAAATGTATATGAGATGTAACTATTTTTGCGTGAAAATTTTTTTAGATTATCAATTTAGATTTTTACGTAATATTATATGATTTTAATTATCCAATTAGATTCAAATATCATAAAAATCGCAAAAAAAATTAGCAAAATCATAATTACACTTAAATCATAAAAAAATTGTTAAATTTGTTATAAATTCGTAATTAATCAATTTTGAACATACTATTAGGTTAAAGATAAACTAGTTTTAAACTAATTATGTAACTGAATTAATTAAGTTTAGTTTTAAAATTAAGAATTACAATAAATATTAGTTTTTATCATATGATTCAATATGGTTAGACCTTAGTTCAACTAATAGTTTAATTGAATTTTTTGTCGCAATTTCAACTATAGTTAATAACTTATTTAAAAGAATCTAAATACTAAAATTTTTATCATTATTTATCTAAAAAAAATTCGAAAAGCATTAGTTTTTAAAACTAACAAAGTAGAAACTTAATAACAAAATTCTTATTTTTACATATTAATTAGTTTTATCATTTATAATAATAATATATAAATAAAATAAAAAATAAACTTACAAATAAAATAAATTTATAAATGTTTAAATTATACTTGTTCTTGATATATAGATTAGCGTATAACTATAATCTTAAACACTAAGTAAAGATAGTAAGTTTTGTTTAAAAAAAAATTTTTTTTAGCGAAAATTAGAAAAAAAACTATAAAAAAAACTAAATGTGAAATTAAAAGAGAAAATAAAAAAAGAAAAAGAAATAATGATAGTTAGAGAATGTGATAATTTAAAATTTTGTTTTAAAAAAAAAATGTTAATGGTTGAAATAATAATTAGATTTAAAAAAAAAGAATTGTGTGAAAGAGTTTTTAGTCTGTAATGATATTTTGATATTAGATAGTAAAGGTAATAAAATAGATCTTTATAGTAAGGTTAATCTTTGTAAAAAAAAAAGGATTGGAAAAATAAGAAGTATTTAAATTTTCTAGTAAATAAATATTAAAATTTAGTTTAAATAAGTTTAAAATATTTGAAATTTAAATAACAAAACTTATAATATTCTAAATTAGATTACCTTTTTTTTTCTACTTAAAAAACTAAAAATAAAATGGTTGAATTTAAAGATCAAAAAGTTATCCTAAATCAAACAAAAAAATTAAAAGTACTTTAGAGTCATTTAATACTAAAATTTAATATACATATAAATTGTGTAAACAAAAAGAACATAATAGCAAAAATTATAAGAAAAAATGAATAATGTTAATAAAGAGAATAAAGTATTTAAAAGTTAAGCTTTTATTCAAAATATATGCATTAATATACTTTTAATTACATGTGATTTACTATCACCATTATTATTATTATTAAAACTAATAAAATGTTTATTTAAGAAATTATATATACAAATAAATTACAGTAAATGTTATACAAATATAATACAAAAGCTATAGTTATTCTTTCTGTTTATTGGAAAACTTCTAAAGCTAAGTAACAAACTTTTCTAATAAAATTCTTCTTATTTATAATTTTTGTAGATTTTTAGAGATACTTTATAAACAAATATATAATGGTAAAAGTTCTTCAAAATTAGTAAAGAGAATTATAAATCTATTAATCCAGATGTATAATAATAATTGAACAGATTTTATCACTTTATATTCTCTATTTTAGTTAAATTACATCTTAATTAATTCAGGCTAGTTTTAATTTAAATTATGATAAGAGAGAATTCAATTATAATTGTTGAATACTATTAAAAGTGATAATCCTAGAATCCAATAATTTACCTATATAAAATTAAGTAATATAACTAAAAAAAAGGTATAAAAATTTATATAATTTTTTAGAATTGTAAAGTATTACTATGATGACAAGTTATTAAATAATGTTAATAATATTATTATAAAAAAATGTATATTATATCAGAGAATATCAATAATTATTTCTTTTTATCATATGAATTGTTTAATATTAAAATATTTATCACATTGTATTGCATTTCTCAAGTTTCTATTTTTACTATTTATTTAGGAAACTAG